AACCCTAAGCCCTAAACCACAACCAGGACTTCAGGAAGATGGCTTGGTTTTGCTTTTCGTTGTCAAGAAGAACGCAGAAACACCTCCAAGACAGGATGTGCCATTTGAGCAATACTCCAAACTCCTAGTGTCCCCCTAAATANNNTATATAAGCCCCTTTTAAGGAGTTTGGACGATATAGCTCATTTAGCATTTGTTCGGCCCCAACTGAGACCGCTGCAGCAACCGCAATATAGGAATAGAAGAAAGCCCAGGATCCACCCACGTACCTGCGACATGTACTTTCAGCGGAAATAATGGAAAAGAAACTGGAAACTACTACAGTATAGTACATATTGGGGTTATATTAGGATAATGCAAAAGAAAATGGAAACTACTGTTTAGGGTAGGGTTTGAAATGGTGGCCACTGTCTGGCTATTCATGCTTCGTGCAAGCTGAGCTTAATCAAACGGATTCCTGTTCGTAGCAGGACCCTCCAGACATGGGGCGAGTGTGTTCAGGGCCCCAGTTGTGGACAAAGTAAGTCATAACAAGTACAATCCGGGATGCCAAGGTTGGCATTCACATGCCGAAGCCCATTGACGCTCAGCTGCGTTGACGAGGCGCCATTCGGACGACAACTAGAACTGGGATGCCACTCGATCTTGATGTATCCCGACACGAGCATAATTGCTGTTGTTGCGGCGGCAGCGGCGGCCTGTACCCCTTCTTCATCTTCTTCAGACTGTGCTTGCACATGTGTACACAGGGGTTTGTCGAATACAGAAGCATGATGGCGTGCAGGTACTCCAGGCGATGGATGAATGATCAAATCCAAATGCTGGCTGGCCTCTGCAAGGGTCTGGCGATGCCGTTCCAGGAGTCAAGGGTCAGCACCTGGATCAGCGTATACATCCTTGGCTGGCAGTTCTTCATGAGGGGAATCCATGTTGGGGTCTACGAGGGGTCGGCGGCTGTACATCATATGAGCTGTGGTCTAAACTCCTAGTATCCGCCTGAATTACCCTTATAGTGGTCCCCTATATATAATCCCCTATACGACCCCCTTTCAGGAGTTTAGACCCTAAACCCTAAATAGTAACCCCACTGTAACCCCTTTCAGGAGAGAGAGACTGCAGCGTAGTACGGCCATTGACCAGAGGTCCAAGGGCCAGGCCAAGACCAGACACTGCCAGTACACTCCACCAGCATATCCAAGGTCTCCATCCTTGCTCTAAGATCACTATCATCATGATGATTACTATTGACATTATCAGTATTACTACGGATATTATTACTCTTGATATTGTTAACATTACTATTACTATTGATAGTACTACTGTTGTTTGTATTATTACTGTTCTTGTTAGCTACAAAAGAGGCTTCCGGGAAGACAAGCATGCTTCGCATGCAACGGTGACAAATCTTTAAAATGTATCTGGGCCTTAAGATATCTCATCGGCAAGTTCTGCGCATGGCTTGCCCTGTGCCCCAAGCAACCGCCCTGCAGACGCCCGCTTTGCAGCTGGTCAGCCCATGACTTTCCAGGCTAAACGGATGCCCATTTTACAAGGTATCAAGCCCCCCAAGACTCCTGCAAACCCCTGGGGAGAGTTGCTCGGGAGTTCCAAACGCAAACAACCTAATGACGAACTGGAAGGTTCCTGCAGTTGCTCTTCGACTTGTTAATAATTAGGACTGGACAGTCCATCCTCATAACCTTCTAGGATCTGCGCGGCCAAGGCACTCCTCAATGGTGGTATTTCCAGCATGCAGGGCCGCAGCATGTGCAGCTTCCACTTCTGCACCTGAAAGTGCCCGTGCCAGAGCACGAAGCGCAAAAAAATGCAGACTCGGTAAGCAAAAGCTGCTGGAAAAACTACCACGACATACATCGACCAGGGCAATCCTAGCCTGCCATCACAAACGATCAGATAGCGCAGGCTACTGGGAAATATCAAGATAGGGTCCCAGCTAATGAGGACGACTCCAAAGATTGAGAAGATGTAGGTGATCAAGCAAACTACCTCGGCGGACGTTTCAGTGCAAAGCATCTGGCACGTTGGTTGAAGAAAGGTGAGCTTACAATTACAACCAAAACAATCCATCACGGCATGTTGCAGAAAGCAAGGAGAGGCCTAGAATAAATACACAAGCGACACGGAGTGTTGAAATGCTAGCAGCACAAGCAAGTCTACTAGAACATGTGAAGCCCAGTGCAAGTTGACCTTTTGACACCGCTACTTACCTCGGTGGGTAACCCGGCAGTCCAGTGGATAAAAGAACATGTGCAACATCCCCCATGCATTAGCGTACATCCCCTGGGAGTTACACTCGGTGAGGGATCTAAGGTGGTGCAAGACTCCCTCATCAGAGGCGTGTGTGGGCAATTTGTTCTGCAGCATGGCCTTTACCGATTCATGTTGTAAGTAGCAGGCCACAACGGTCCAGAACAGCGTCCGCATGGACGCTGACAGGCCCCGTATAAGCCTGAAGTCGCAGGCTGCACACCCCTAGGACATTGTCAATTGCGATGCTCCTGCAGCCAAAGCACAGGTAGACTTCCTGGAAAGCCGGAAGCTTTCTCACAACTCTGACCTGGCAAGGAGCCGGTAGAGCCGCTTCCAGAACTTCTTACAGGCTGGAAGTCCCTGAAATGGATTCCAAGCATGACCAGGTGCAGTACACGCGTGCATTTTTGGGTGAGTTGCTTCGAGGTGTTGCTGACCGCTTGACTGAAGCTTCGGCTGCAAGCAAGCAGCCAATCGGAGCAAGCGGAAGGCCCGAAGCACTGTGAAGACACGGTACTGCCCAGGGCCTCGGCAAGGCATCGTGGGGTCATGTGCAACAGCCTTCAAATTGGCAGGTGCGGATGCAAGGGGACCAAGGAAGTAGGAAGCGCAACCACTGACAGGACAAACCAAAAGTCAACAAATGTTCAAGTTGTTGCGAGAGTTATGCTCAAACTCGTTCAAGAGCCCTAATAAACCCTAGACCCTAAACCTGCCCTTGGAAAACAACAAATCTACCAGAACCGTGGC